TAGTCATATCTTTTTTCACACTTTTTCTAGCCGCCTCCGACTTGTTGGAAAAGTGCCAGGCCCGAGGAGAGACCCTCGAACCGCTGTTTGAGCTCACCAACTTTCAGGAAGCCTGCCGAGCTGTCAATACAGCCGTTATTGAGACAAAGGTACCCCCAGCTGTCCCCTTTGATCTGTTTCCAGTCGTCAGTAAGTCCTATTAATACGGGGGGCCTGAACGAATTCCCACTGCTCCGAGGTGATTTGGAACCTGGTCTTTAACGTTGCACAACAGAGTTTGAGTCCACTGTCTTATCAGGAGAGTTCTAGATTGATTTCGAAGGCAAAACGGGCTGAGTAAGTCCCGTACCGAGATAATCGAACCGACTTGTCATCGTATTGAGCATTCCCGACCTGCAACCGTCAGGGTATTTCCAGCTGACGATCCCTAAAAAGGCGGAAACAGCCATCTCCCTTGGTAATTTCTCCTGCATGAGGGCCTTATCATGGAATTGTATAAGAAATTATTAAAATGTACTTTCTACTAGAAGGGGTTGCTCAGGTGGAGTTTCAATATTGATTAGTCTTCAGCCTCACCCTAAGATAATGCAGTATGCAGGTCTCTGATTGAGTTTCGTTTCGTTTGCCTGCAAAAACCCACACCCAAGAAAAACTGCCAACTTGAGTTGTGTGAATTCTTCCCACTGATTATTTATGGAAAACGTGCGCGAAAATTATTATATGCTGTACTAATTTTGTAGAGATTGACGCCTTCTTCAAATTTTTATATTTGCAGAAATCGTTTCTTTCGGTTCAAAGAGACTGAATATTCCTATCTAATAAGCAGAACTAGCTACGGCCTTTACTTAAGTAGGCATTCTATTACCGAACGCTTAGGCTGACGTCGTGCACGCCACCAGGTCGCGTCTATGTTTTACGCGCTTCGATAACTTTGACGTAAAGGTTGATAATGGAGCCCCAGCTTATGCCATTGAGCGCTTCGGCGGTTTCGTATTATAAAAACCAAGGTTAGTTTATCATAAGGTTGATTGAAGACCTCTCAAGGCTGCCTTTACGTTGGAATAACCACTTACAAAACTCAGAATTCTTGTCTTTATACTTTCAAGGTCTTTTTTCCACAGTCTGTGCCCTTGTACATGCTTATTTCTAATGGTAAACTGCTCCTTTCCCCTCTATAAAAATAAAAATCAATTGGACGCAGTCTGCTTCATTGAAGTAATTCTGATTTCCGCATTCCCTCACGTGTATAGTCGGCTAGTGGCTCTTGATGAAGACTCCGTCCATTCTGAAGGTTCCGGTATCGTTTTGATGACCACAGTATGCGTACTCGAGATTGTGGAGATGTCACCACTATGCCAATATGCGTTAGACTTGCGGATTACCCTAGGAAATAGTCGACAGCGACGGCTTTTGTGATGGGAATGTTGTGTCCTATATCCAACAAGCACTTTCACCCACTCTCCAAGGCATATGCATTAATAATTTTGGAGTTACTGTCCAATGACTATCCGATTCTAGGTTTAAAGCTCACGTTTGCTGGTGAGTTAGCAGCTATGGCAACTAAGCCAGAGCGTGCCGTCCTAGTTCTCCTTGTCTCTCTTGGTGATAATTTTTAGTTTTCACTTCTGTGTTTCGAACTTTGTAGATACCTCCCGACGTCGCTCAAATATTTGATGAGTGTCCCGGCTCATTGCCCGCTGATGGAACCTTCTACTCCTGCTCCAGTGATAATGTGAGTATCTCCTCTTGCGTTGAAGTGTTGACTTTGCCACAAGGGAGAGGGGAGGGAGACTAGTGCCTCCTCCTAATTACGATTTTCATAGTAGGCAGTCTGCATGCGACCTCTAAACTCTTATGGGAAATATCCGCACTGCTTTCCCCACCGTTTGTTTCCATCTCACATCTAATTAAATAAATTTTGTTTCACAGAGTAACCGGCTTCGAAGTCTATATATTTTTACCTTTAAGGCATCAACGATGTCTCAGTGTTTGCACTGAACGAACAGATCCATATGTCGGTTAGAGGTCACTCTTGGTATTACTTCAACCTTATTTACTTTGCATAACTATCTACTTATTTCGTAGTAGTAAGCATGTTATGTTTTACTACTGTGTATAGGCGTCGGTTGTGTTGCTCATCACAAAGGTTGGAGAGGTTGAAGAGGGGAGCAATTGGAATTTCTTCTGAACATGTAGCTTTGAAGTTACTTTTAACTTTTGGCCCAAGTATTTGGGCACTCCAAACAACGCATAAAGCGCGCCTGGTTGAGGCTGTTTAAAGATTAACTTCTAATTCCAGCTGTTGCGGCAGTCAGGGCCTCTGTCGATGCCCAAGGCAAAGCGGGACAGATGAATTCTGCTAGCGGTCAGGTGAGCGTTCATCAACGAGTAAAAATTCATTATCTGTCTCTGTTAACGCAGGTCTCTGCCGGTAGGATGCAACATGCTCCTACCACCACCACCACCACTGGTCCCCTGGGTGGCAGCAGTTCGTCAAAAACCCCCTCCAGCCCCCTGGCCAACCTGACGATGCCCACTTTCTGGCGTCTGGTCGCTGCCCTGCGGGACTTCACCTTCAACG